AATATTAATAAAACAAAATAAAATACTGACTTGGATATGAAGGATAGCATCTTATTTTAGACATTTCTTTCTTTCTCAATCTATAATTTTCTTTTTTCAACACAAAGTCAGTTGCACCAATTCCCTTTTGCACATATCACAATCTTTCTTTTGGAATATTTAACTCTCAATAATGTAATGTTAGAATTGGTTAGTTTAGACCATTAGTTCTCAACTGGGGTCCATATTGACTCTTTAGCATTCCATGTAACATTACCAGAGTCCATTTTAGTGTACATAAATGATCCATAGAATTTATTTGTTAAATACAAGTTTATTTTCATTAAATTAATTTTACTTCAAAATAAAGGATATACATTTACTATTTCCATAATACAATTCCTAAAATTATCTATTAGTAAAAAAATAAAATAAGCTTTTTTTCCATTGAATGTTTATGGGCGCCCACCAAAAAAGAATTAAGAATAAAAGTGGTCGTTGCGTAAAAAACAATTGAGAACCACCGGTTTATGAAATGGTACACAGGACACTATAATATTCAGAGCATTATTTTAGATTTAAATGAAAATTAAGTATTCTTTTTTATATTGCATGAATATTTTTTCACCCATTAAAATGGATAAATGGGATTTATTTCTATCAAATCAAATTTTTTTTTTGTTTTCTTTGCATATTTAGTTATCATTAATCTACATAAAGTTAATTATATGAAAAGTATGTTTGTATGTGTATGAATGCATTTCTCCCCTACTATATATATATATATATATATGTATGTAGTTTGAGTGCTTAGCTTTGGAGCGGGTAGAATGGAGATCAACGTGTTTTAGTGGACTCAGCAATTTTCAATCTGCTTCAAGAAGCGAGAGCAAGATCTAAAAGGTCAGCCAATCTAACAATGATCTCATCTCACAATTCTCACACCTGCTCCACATGTGGCCTCCTTTGTAAATCACTAGCGGGTCTTAAATGCCACTTAAGATTATCGCATAAACTTTCATAACTGAATCAATAAGCTGGCAGATCCTCATACGTCAAAACCGACGGGAGAGTCCATTATTATTATTATTATTATATATATATATATAAATATATATATATATATATGTGTGTAAAAATATATAGAAAATAGGAAAGAATTCGTTAGGTAAATAATCCAAAGTTCTTTAGTATTTTGTTATTATTCTAAAAAAATAGTGCTCGATACAAAAGTAGAGCATAAATATAATTATTTATTTAAAAATATGATTCCATCGCAACATAAGAGTTATTTTTCGCTCTTGTTTTGAAACATGAGAACTCTTATGTAGCGATGGAATCATATTTTAAATAAATAATATATATATATATATATATATATATATACCCCCCCTGTACCTGTAACGGCATTCACCCAGTGTGGGTTGAGCCGGCTCCAATATTGAGTTTCATGGAATTTGGAATTCAAGCGTCCCCAAACACGCATGTATAGCATATGAGATTTGATTATAGTGGTGAAGGTTTTCGTGCAGGACCATCCACACTTTTTGAAGGGCCGAATACAGAGACCTAGTGCACTACGTGCCACAAGGTCCCCAAACGACTCTCCACAGGTTTTGAATTCAGAGTTGTCCTTCTCTTAGACCAGTTGCCATCCAAGGCTATAGAACCCAGTATGTCCTGCTATTTACCCATAGCTGGAGGGAGAAGAGGAGGATTCACATCTTTCCCAAGGGTATTAGCACATAAGTGAATGTAATGAATTCGACTCTTGGCTCTCTGATTCCTCAATCCAAGCTGCTATCCATTACTTAATATATCAATAATTTTTTTATTTACTACATATATTTTAAAATTATTTATTCTTAGTTATTTTACTAGTGTACATAAATGTTCCATAGAATTTAGTTGTTAAATACAAAGTTTATTTTCATTAAATTAGTTTTTACTTCAAAATAAAGAATATACATTTACTATTTCTATAATACAATTCCTAAACTTATCTATTAGTAAAAAATAAGATAAGCTTTTTTTCGTCAAATCTTTATGGATGTAAAAAAAATATTGGTCCTTGGGTATAAAAATGTTGAGAATCACTGCCAAAAGTCCATTCTGCTGTGTGCTTTATCCTATTTTTTCAACTGAGATGTAACCTACCTCACTTTATACTCTTGTAAAATCCAAACTAATGATCACTACACACTAATTTGTCCACAAATGTTGTAGTGCAATCACAGGAGTACAGATGTTCCATTTTACTTTATGCTTGGCTTCTGTCAAGTCACCGTGAATTGATTTTCAAAATTCAAGAAACTTTTGCAAGTTGTTGCAGATGACTCTGATCAATTGAATCGCTTGAATATAATTATCAAGCATAACAGAAGGTTTTCTGTTAAGTACACACAAAAGTAGGTCAATGTTAGAGGCAATGGCATGATCTGTGTGTAGCATATCTCGCAAGCTGAATAGATCTCTATCTGAATTTTAGGGATGAGTTATCAGTATTTATATTTAGGCTACTGTCCTCGTTATTATCAGGTTTTTACTTCTTCAGGTGCTTGATGATCAAAGTAACCTCCAGGGAATTTCCAACTGAACTCTTTATTTAATCTACAGAGATAGATTGTTCAGCAAACATGGACATATGTGCTCACAAGATGTAGTGTCAAATGACAGTTTTTACCATGACACCGTTTTTTTAATTACCTCCACTCTTCAGCAATGTTTATTGTTTTAAAAAGCGATGATGAGAATTGGAATAAAACTTAAACAGATGGTGAAAATGAATTTGTTCTTAAGGATTTACAACAAAACTATTAAAAATTATTTATTTATTAGATGGGGGGAGGCACCAAAAAAATTAAGAATAAAAGTGGTCTATGGGTAAAAAAAAGCTTGAGAACCACTGCACTATTATCCTGTGGGACAATCCTGAGTGTAGAAATTGGAGCCTTGCTCCCCATACAGAATTTATATCTATGTTAGGATTATTCAGGAAGTCGCTCATAGCCTAGCATTTACAATGATTTTTTAAATTCCTGATTGGAATAATATTACTACTACTAATACTACTAGTGGAAATAAAGCAATTGAAATGAAGATGAAAGAAATCCTAGTGAAAAATGAAGAATACTTGACAATGCTTGATCTAATGAAAATTGCAGATAATATTACTACTACTACTACTAGTGGAAATAAAGCAATAGAAATGAAGATGAAAGAAATCCTAGTGAAAAATGAAGAATGCTTGATCTAATGAAAATTGCAGATAATATTACTACTAATAATACTACTAGTGGAAATAAAGCAATTGAAATGAAGATGAAAGAAATCCTAGTGAAAAATGAAGAATGCTTGACAATGCTTGATCTAATGAAAATTACAGATAATATTACTACTACTAATACTACTAGTGGAAATAAAGCAATTGAAATGAAGATGAAAAGAAATCCTAGTGAAAAATGAAGAATGCTTGACAATGCTTGATCTAATGAAAATTGCAGATAATATTACTACTAATAATATTATTAGTGGAAATAAAGCAATTGAAATGAAGATGAAAGAAATCCTAGTGAAAAATGAAATGCTTGACAATGCTTGATCTAATGAAAATTGCCGATAATATTACTACTACTAATACTACTAGTGGAAATAAAGCAATTGAAATGAAAATGAAAGATCCCTAGTGAAAAATGAAGAATGCTTGACAATGCTTGATCTAATGAAAATTGTAGATAATATTACTACTACTAATACTACTAGTGGAAATAAAGCAATTGAAATGAAGATGAAAAGAAATCCTAGTGAAAAATGAAGAATGCTTGACAATGCTTGATCTAATGAAAATTGCCGATAATATTACTACTACTAATACTACTAGTGGAAATAAAGCAATTGAAATGAAAATGAAAGAAATCCTAGTGAAAAATGAAGAATGCTTGACAATGCTTGATCTAATGAAAATTGCAGATAATATTACTACTACTAATACTACTAGTGGAAATAAAGCAATTGAAATGAAAATGAAAGAAATCCTAGTGAAAAATGAAGAATGCTTGACAATGCTTGATCTAATGAAAATTACAGATAATATTACTACTACTAATACTACTAGTGGAAATAAAGCAATTGAAATGAAGATGAAAGAAACCTAGGAAAAATGAAGAATGCTTGACAATGCTTGATCTAATGAAAATTGCAGATAATATTACTACTACTAATACTACTAGTGGAAATAAAGCAATTGAAATGAAGATGAAAGAAATCTTAGGGAAAATGAAGAATGCTTGACAATGCTTGATCTAATGAAAATTGCAGATAATATTACTACTACTAATACTACTAGTGGAAATAAAGCAATTGAAATGAAGATGAAAGAAATCCTAGGGAAAAATGAAGAATGCTTGACAATGCTTTATCAAATTGAAGCTGTTGGTGTGTTAAGAAAATTGCTTCTTAATGTATTTTCATATAAGAAAAATAACAAACAGGACTTTCCTTTTGTTGACCCTTCTAAAACTGTGGATGAAACAAAAGGTGATATTTTTTTAAATCTTCAAAGACTAAAAAAATAACAAACGCAAAAGACTTGTTTTTTTAAATATTTACTTTTACAGTAAACTTTTGCAAAAGAAATTTTTTGGAGGAAATTTGTTTTTTTTTTGTGTAGGGAAGGAGACTCGTGAAATGACTCGGCTGCATCGTGTGGAACATGAAATAATATTAAGCAATACTTCATCTTTTCCATTTCACATTGCTTCTGATCGCCACTGTAAGAAATTTGCATAAAGAAAGAAAGAAAGAAAGAAAAAAAAAAACAGAAAAAAAATTTTGGATTCTATGGAAGATTTCAAAATGTCATATCGTTTCTTTTCCTAACTTTGGAATAAAATTTTTTCTTGCAGCTTTTCACGCAACTGTAAATGGGAATTGAAAGGGAACCAAGAAATGCCAATCACCTTAAATCATAAGAGCAACAAACAAGAGAGAAGGGGAAAAAAATAACAAAAAACAATCCAAGTTTATAATCCCAAGGATTTCTCAACAGTTCTTCGGGCAATATCATTGAATCTTTGCCGGTCCTCACGCCAGGTTTTTGCTGCATCCACATTGGCTGCACTTTCATCATTTGGTTCTAAAAAGAAAAGAAAAAAAAAGCAAAGTGAATAAAGATGGAAAAGGAAAAATAAAGAAAAGAAAAACAAAATTGTGATGGAAACCAAATGAAAATGACAAAGGGACATGAACAAAAAAAATAAAAGAAAGAAGGAAAACAGTTAATAAAAAAGAAAAGGAAAGTGATCAAAGAAAAGAAAGAAAAATCAAAACAAAGCAATCAAAGAAAAGAAAAGAAAACAAAGAAAAGAAAAGCAAAGAAACAAAATAGAAAGCAATAAGAAAGAAAGAAAGAAAGAAAGAAAGCAAGCAATCAGAAAGAAAGAAAGAAAGCAATCAGAAAGAAAGCAAGCAATCAGAAAGAAAGAAAGAAAGCAATCAGAAAGAAAGAAAGAAAGCAAGCAATCAGAAAGAAAGAAAGAAAGCAAGCAATCAGAAAGAAAGAAAGAAAGAAAAAAAAGAAAGCAATCAGAAAGAAAGAAAGAAATCAAAGAAAGAAAGAAAAAAGCAATCAAGAAAGAAAGCAAGCAATCAGAAAGAAAGAAAGAAAGCAATCAGAAAGAAAGAAAAAAAGCAATCAGAAAGAAAGAAAGAAAGAAATCAGAAAGAAAGAAAGAAAGCAAGCAATCAGAAAGAAAGAAAGAAAGAAAGCAATCAGAAAGAAAGAAAGAAAGCAAGCAATCAGAAAGAAAGAAAGAAAGCAAGCAATCAGAAAGAAAGAAAGAAAGCAAGCAATCAGAAAGAAAGAAAGAAAGCAATCAGAAAGAAAGAAAGAAAGCAATCAGAAAGAAAGAAAGAAATCAGAAAGAAAGAAAGAAAGCAAGCAATCAGAAAGAAAGCAAGCAATCAGAAAGAAAGAAAGAAAGCAATCAGAAAGAAAGAAAGCAAGCAATCAGAAAGAAAGAAAGAAAGAAATCAGAAAGAAAGAAAGAAAGCAAGCAATCAGAAAGAAAGAAAGAAAGCAAGCAATCAGAAAGAAAGAAAGAAAGCAAGCAATCAGAAAGAAAGAAAGAAAGCAAGCAATCAGAAAGAAAGAAAGAAAGCAAGCAATCAGAAAGAAAGAAAGAAAGCAAGCAATCAGAAAGAAAGAAAGAAATAAGAAAGAAAGAAAGCAATCAGAAAGAAACAAAGAAAGAAATCAGAAAGAAAGAAAGAAAGAAATCAGAAAGAAAGAAAGAAAGAAATCAGAAAGAAAGGAAGAAATCAGAAAGAAAGAAAGAAATCAGAAAGAAAGAAAGAAATCAGAAAGAAAGAAAGAAAGCAATCAGAAAGCAATCAAAGAAAAGAAAGAAAGCAAGGAAAAGACAAAGCAAAGAAAAGAAAGAAATCAATCCATCAAAGAAAAGAAAGAAATCAAAGAAAAAAAAGAAAAAATTATATCAAAGATGAGGATATTAGTCCTAATGTAAATAACCATCCTAGAAATTCAGACAGAAAGTCTTTTGTACATTTGGCATACAAGCCTGTTGCCATTGTTGGCATACAATCCAGTTTTATTGAGTTTGTCACAAGCAAACAAGAAAACTCTTCAACATCACAGAGCAGCCCCCCTGGATAGTTTTCTCCAGTCATGGTGAATGGTTGCACTCTTAATGAGACTCCTTGCCTGGAACTCCTTGGGACTCAAGCCCACTTTATGCTACACATGGAACTTGTACATACAATCCATCATTAAAGATCTTGAATAAATAGTCATCACTCTGTTCTACTCTGGAATGTACCTGATCGCTACAGCTATACTTTATCTTTACAAGCGTCAGATCAGACCCAAAATGGCTCCTTTTGCAGCCTTGACAGAGTTTGAAAGTATTTATGCTGGTGATGAATGATTTTTCACGCTACAATTCCTTTCCAATAGAAGTCCTGGGTATGACGATAAACTACATCTGGCAGCAAGGACTCCAATTGCAAGATTGGAGGTTTTGAAAAGCGTGAAACTACCACTTAATTGTTTTTCCCCCGTCCACACTGACCGGGAGGGTAGCACCTGTTAGGGTCCCAGCTATGGGCAAATAGTGAACACCCAAACAAAAGCAAAAACAAAACACTATGAAAGTATAAAACTACCAATTTATAGTAAAATAACAAATAATATTTTGTGATGCCAACAAAAACTCGTTGCCACTTTTGTGACGTCAATGAATACTCATTGTCACTTTCTTAATGCTCATTGTGGCAGAGACTTTGTAATTGCAGATACAACTATAGTAACGCTATTGAACAATAGTATCAGATGCCTTCGAATAACACTCACACTAATAGTACTTGCTTGAGGATACTCGCTTGAATAGTAACCACCGAATGGTAATCTGTATAGTGATTGCTTAGACGTCACACTAATTCCCATATATACATTTCCTTTACCATCATATGATCTACTTATTCAAAAGGGGATCACCTGTGTTTGCTCTCTGGTGATCTATATTCAAACTACGGTGTTAGCAGCGACACTTTATTACTATTTTACACAATATCTATTTAAAGCAAATTGATCAGCAAAACATTTTACAGTAGAATTACCAACAATACATTTTATAGCAAAATGACCAACAATATATTTTATCTGTAGTTGAAGCCATAAAATTATGTTCAAAATATTTAGATTTTGGCATTACCCATAGATGTATTAATCTGCCACTAAACAAAATCAACCAACCGACTTTCCTACAGTTGAAATGTTGCAAGCCTCTTGTTGTTAATTTCATGTCAGATCTTCTGATGAGCTCTGCATTCTTTTGTTCCACCAGTCCAGACCATCACATCAACAAAATCAATTCATCCTCATTCCTTTTATATTCCATTAATAAGAAGGAAGTTCAACTCGCTTTTAACCCCAGAACTGCTGCATTGTGAAAAGGTGCTTTCCTGATCACTACAACCTTAACTCCTTCAAGTTAAGTGTCAACCATTACCAATCTTACTAATCGTTATAATAATACTACATGTATTTCCTCGTTTTACATACAACTTAATTAAGTAATCATCTACATTAAGTGGCTCTTGGGCCTTGTATTGAGTGAATGATAAGATATTAAAAAAAATAAAAGAATGCCCCATGTGTCACGGTCAGCTTATTCCAATAAATACCAAATTCTTAAGTGCAGCCCTCAACCAACATAAAAAAAAAAATGACATTATACTAGGTACGTCCACTTTTAACTCTGTCAGACAATTTCTGTGACCACATCACCCCTTACATATGGCCACCAGACTGCAAGTCTCTTGATTATTATGTGTGGGGCACAGTTGAGTGAGACAACGAGAAAATTCCTTGTAATACCAAAGATGATCTGAAGGCAAGGATTATGGCAGCATTCACCAACAAGGAGACCGTCCAGAAGAGATGCAGGAGATTTCAAAGTCATTTGGAGGCTGTGGAGGATGGCAATGGCGATTTTATTGAATAAATTTCCTCTTTACTATTTCAAAATAATTTTGTGTAATTTTGGTAAATATATTTGTTAAAATAAGACGTCAGTGCTATTTTTATTTTTGTATAATTTAGATAACAATTTATCCATTGCAACCTTAGCAAAACAGTCTGTCTGTGGATGACAATATATATGCTCCTAAAAAATTTATTTCAGTTGAGCTCTCTGGGGAGGAAGTGTGGGTTTGTAAACACTGACTATTACGGCTAATAATGCAAGACTCTTTGGTAAATCGAATTGAGTTCTCACAGTCACTGTGTGTTTATCTAAAAATAAATACACTTAATTTCACCTTCATCCCTGCCGTGCACCAATGGCTTAGTGGTAGAATCCCTGACTGATGCCAATTCAGTCAGGTTTCGATCTTAGCTAGAGGCAACCGGATGTCTAGCCACACTGATGAGCTGTGATACAGCGAAACAGTCTGTCTGTGAATGACTATATATATATATATATATATATATATATGAAATATATTTTCTGTTTATACATTATTTTTATGGATACAGCTTATTTGAGTAAATGCTGTTTTAATTAAACAGTATTAATTACATTTACCAGTCTAAATGTTCGAGAAATTTCGTAGAAAACAAGAATAGGAACTCTATCTCATATGGAAACTGTCATTTAGCCTGATGTACTATTAACCATTCAGCTACAAAGAACTTTCCAGTTAGCAAAGTCCAAATTACTACTTATAAACACACATCTTTGATGACCTTTCTTGACATATCATTTCCACTTTGAAACCTAACCTAACATAAACAATGACAACATATGAGATGAAATGGATTAAATCTGACAAATATTTTTTATAGTTGTATCCATAGAAATCTTACTTATTATAAAACGCAGATTGTGTGTGTGTGTGTGTGTGTCTGTATGTTTATATATTGGATCGGATTTCCTACATTTTTCAACCGATTTCAACAAAACTTCACAGGACTGCGTAAAATTACCTTGCGGTGGTTCTGACAGCGCCAAAAATTGGAAGAACACAATTGTTTTTGCACGAAATCAATTTGAAAACACAATAAAACACGATTCTGTCGCCGGAATGAAAGGGGAACAACTCATATCAAGTTATACTTATAAACCCCAGGTTGTTTGTGTGTGTGTGTTCATTTATATATGGGATCAGATTTCCTACATTTTTCAACCGATTTCAACAAAAATTCACTTTTTTTTTGGCAGGTAGTGTTTCTTATTGTCTTGCACATTTTTTTTTTTTATTTTTACATTCAGAATGTTTTAAAAATTCCATTTACATAATTGTTTATAATAAAATTCTATTCAATCGATAGACTCATAATGATTGAAAACAATGTTTTTGTTTGAGTTTGACCAATTCGTAAAAAAAAAAAAAAAAACTAATTAAGACATGCGTGTCAGTCAACCTTAAACAATAATCTTTGTCAATTTTATTTTTCAGTCTTTATGATGGTCGATACTTGATCTATCTCTTACTGTTACATCCCTGGGCAACGCCGGGCTCTACTACTAGTAATGTATAAACAGAAAATATATTAAATTTTGTCGGATTTATATATATTAGAAGAAATGGGTTATATATATATATATATATATATGGGATAATGTATGCATAAGTTTCAACGTTGGAAATGACAGAATAAAGATTTTCAAGATTTAATCAGAACAAAGTTGGCAAAATATCTTTAACCAACTCATTCTCATATAGGTACCACCACTTCTCAAATAATGTCCAAAAGATTTAGAAATTCTTGCAAAAATCAAATAATTGTTGGATGTTAATTAAATTTTCAGGATTTTTTCACAAAATAACGAAATTATTTTTTAAATCTTTTGTTTTAGAAAATCTTGGTAAAATTTTTTTCTTTTTTTTACATATGTTACCCCTCACTTAATTTCATGAAATTACAAGGAAAAAAGTTGTTTTATTAGTTAATTGCAGGGCTCATTGGTGAAATTAAATCATCAATTTTTTGTTTTTTAAACAGGACACCCAGTCACTAAAAATCTGCACGGAATTGTAAAATAAAAAATGCAATAAAACTATGACATTATTTAATTGGAAAAGCTTTTAATTGCTTTCATAAATAAGATTATAGTCTTAAGAAATGATGAATAATTAATTTTTACAAGAATTGATTTCATTTTTTAAAAATTTTAATTAAATAATTTAAATAGTTTAAAATTCTGCATTACTTTAAGTAGTTTAGTTAATATTGTTATTAAGTGAAAACTACATTTATGAATCAAAAATTGAAAAGCTCATTAAAAGTCATTTTACCCCAATATTTAAAAATTAAATGTGTTTAATTTTTTCTATGTATATGTAATGTGCCCTTGTTTGAAAGTATGGTCGCCCATACATGATATAATCAGAAAAGAGCAATGACTATAGTAAATTTAAATTTAGCATTCTTAAAATTAGATTACAGAAAACATTTTCCGACATTTTTAAGATTACTGAATACTTAAAAATTATATAAAAAAGGTGTTCACTCATCATTTTCTTAAATTATATTTTAACAGATAAAGTCGCCATACAACAATGAACTTGTCAACACCTTGTTAAGTGACTTACAAGGTGTCGATAAACACTTAATCGTGCTACTGTCTGTTTTAAAAATCCATTTCTCTGTTATTTTGAACTTAAAGTAATATTTTTTTTCAAATCAGCTTAATTAAACTTTAATTCAGCTAATATTTCTGAAGTTTCACAAATATATATATTTTATTTTTGAGAGATTTTTAAAACTCTTATTTTAAATTTTAGGTATTGACATTTATACCGAAATAGTGTAGGTACCTATATTATAGCCTTATTATTTTCACTGGTGGCAGAAGGAATTGGGTGTGAAAAAGAAAAAATTGGAGAGAGGACAAGATTGAAGGCGGACTCACCTGCAAGCATGCTGACAACAGACAAGAGGATTTTTTCCACACTCTGCACTGGACTCCATCTCTCAGCACTTGTTTCATAACCCATTGGGTCATCTCCAGGGGCATGCAAGATTGAAATGCACACACGGCCATCAACATAAACTGCAGAGAGAAAAAGAAAATGAAAACACCGTTTCATCTGTACGTATCTTACATTTCTTGAAGACAAAGAAAAATTTTCAATCATTTACCTTTCACGATTAAAATATATACTAGCTGAGGTACCTGGCACTGCCCGGCTGCAATTGTATAACTGCATACCCCCTGTATACATCCCCTGTCTAGAAATGTCTGCCTGCATAAGCTGGTTATATGCATCATCTGTTGATATACTAAGCTACTCCCCATCCTCATCTTTTTTATGGTATGTTCTTCACAAGTCTTTGATTGTTCTTAATAAATGAATTCCATCGATAAAACCTTCTTGTGTGGTTGTTACTCAGGGTTAAATTGTTTCAATGTTTTAGATATTCAGTAAATTTCCTGTGGTTGTAATAACTTTCAAATAGTATAGCATTGTTCACAAATCTAATAATCAAACAAAAACAAGGATGAAGTGTCTGAGCTTGATTCAACTACAAGTGCAAATACATGAATGCCCCTCTCCTTCACATGTTTACTGTAAAGCTGGGGTTAATAAGAGGTTCTTTGGAAATTTTTCCCTTTTAACGCTTCAATAATCCTTCTCAAACAATCTTTCATCAAAGGTTGTTCAAATGCCAATTTATGATGGAATCATATGAAGAAATTATTGGCGAAATGGCAAAAGCCGATTTTGGATCTAGTTTGTTGCAGATTTTGTCCACTTAACTGAAATAATCTAAACCAAACATTCATGCAAGACAATTTGTGTGTCATATGTAATCTACATGGCAAATTTGGAAAGCATCAGATGAAATACCAAGGAAATATGTCTGAAAAACGGGGTTTTTGAACAATTATATGGGGGTGGGGGAGTGAACAGGACTAAAACCACACTATCTTATTTCTTGTATTCTTACAATTTTTTTTGAACGTTTTAAGAAAATCAGATAAAAAATGAGTAAGTTCTTCAAGTTTTTATTTTAAGTAGTACAAAAAACCCAATTTTTTGAATGAAGCCAATGTCACAGGAAAACTATCAAGCGCTTTGCATAAACCTCATAACATGAGCTGATGTTCTGCATTAAGTGCAAAGAACATCAGCTTATCCAATAAAAATTTTGTTCGCATGTAACTTTACTTTGGTTTTTGCAAAAAGTTGTATCCATCTTCAATTTTATCGATCTTTCTGCTAAACCTGCAGGGTAGTGTGCTTGGATTACAAAGTTGGTCTTGACTTATGTTGATAAATTTGTATCATGTGTGTACAATTTCATCAAAATCAGTTGAGAAATGTGGATGTGCATAAAAAGCATACACACAGAGACAGACATCTGTTTTATAGACATATATATGAGAAATCATTTTGAAAGAAGCATTATCTTCATTTGTATTGTTTAAATCACTAGACTTTGACTTTGGAAGCTGCATATTAGCCTTGTATTTGATCTTGCAAGGATCATGGAAACTGGGAGAACAAATTCACCTTGTGTGAAAACTATGGACATTACTCCTCATATTGCTGTCAAGAACACAACGCTAAGCAAATCCCAGGGAAGTTGAAACCCTTCAACCATAGAAAGCAACTCTTCTGGATTAAAGCAGTTCAGAGGGATAAAATCAGATCAGATGGATTCATGTGGTTCCTCTGGATTAAAGCAGCCCAGATGGATTGTAGTAGTTCCACTAGATGAAAACTATCTGGATTAAAGCAGTCCAGACAGATTAAAACCATCCCTCTGGATTAAAGCAGTCCAGATAGATTAAAGTGGTTCCTCTGGAATAAATTAGTTCATATGGTGAAAACCATCTGCCTGAATTAAAGCAGCCCAGATGGATTAAAGTGATTCTTCTAGATTAAGGAAGTTCAGGTGGATTAAAGTAGTTCCTCTGGATTAAAGCGGTCCAGATAGATTAAAACCATCCCTTTGAATCAAAGCCGCCCAGATGAATTAAAGCAGTTCAGGTGGATTAATGTGATTTCTCTGGATTAAATTTTTTCAGGTGGATCAAAGTAGTCCAGATGGATTAAAGCAGTTCCTCTGGATTAAAGTAGCCCAGGTGGATTAATGTGATTTCTCTGGATTAAAGTCATTCAGGTAGATTAAAGCTGTCCACATGGATTAAAGCAGATATGATTTACAACCCCCCCCCCAAAAAAAAATAATTATAATTTGGCAGATTCACAAATGACAGAGCAGCCAAGTCAAAGGATTAAACACATTGTCCTCTATCTGACATTCACTTTAATCCTTAAACAGTTGGGAAAGGCTGCTTGAAGGTTCAATCCCAAAATGGGAAATTTTTTTTTTCAACGAGTAGATTATATTTTTATTTTCGTTTTAATTTTATCCAAAGATTATAAAAATTATATTTTAACTCTTTTAGATGCTAGAAATTAAGGAAATAGGAAAATCAAGACAAATGTTAGATTCATAAACGTACAAGCCGATGTGTGGCTGGAGGAGACGGCAACAAAAAAGATTTTAAAAAATAAGCCAAAGGCAAATTAAGACACCACTTGAGCCCCGATTTACAAAAAGATTAAACATCTCAGTGTTTTATATCAAGCAAGTCGGGGTGGTAAGTATGTGATGGAGGTCAGACTTACTATTTGGGTGGAATATTTCACTGTTAAATTTCATTTTGGGGGGGCTGAGTGGGTAGTCAGGAGGAAACATCAGTCGTGCTGGGAAGACACCTCCTTCAAAACATGTACCTTCAGGACCCCTGAAAGAAAACGATGAATCCAGAAGAGAATATTATGGAATCAAAATGGTTTTCATGCATTATTTATGTTACTGTCTGTTGGACTAATATCCTCATCTTTGTTGTTATGATCACAATATTTTTCAAATTCTAACCATCTTCAAATGTATTTCAATCTGAGTCACCATCAGGCAATTTCAAACTGTTTATTTAACCCTCCAGCATTCACGTTATATACACACGTAATTGTGCATTTAGGCAGCAATCCCTCTTTTATACAAGTTTCATTAAAGATGACTGACAAGGTACTGTGGTTAAGTTTTTATTTAATTTTTCTTGTGTTCTTATAATTTTCTTTTTTTCTGGACATAGAATATGTAGAAATTGTCTGAATGTTCTGTATGTTTGAGTGCTTTCAGCTATACTTTTAGCCATTATCAAGGACGATTTTATTTTAACTTTTAACTGAATGCATGGATGTTTTATGTATGTATCTAGAATTACAGGAATGTTTTTATTTTCCAAATACGGTCACCACATTGTGGCTGTTTTCATAGTTGATATTATTGAGTATTGGCGTTTTCTTTTTTCTATTAATAATGCTTCCATTATTTTTAGCCTTTTTTACATATGGATGAGGCTATTATATTTCTATTATCAACGAGTATGTTGCAGATGGAGGTCTCAGGTGTATCTCCATGTGCCTTGTCAGCAGTTTTTAATGAAACGTGTGTGTGTGTGTGTATATATATATATATATATATATATATATATATATATATATATATATATATATATATGCACAAACACATACATACATACATACATACAGGGTGCAATGTGTAAATTGTCACTATTTCATATTTTTAATTTCATGCATGCATGTTGTTTTTCTTGATTTTGTTGACTGCACATCATAGTAGGGTCAGTTGGGCATCATCTGTGAGAAAAAGAGCACCATGACACAATTCCCTCCACCAGAAATTTGGAAACACCGGAAGCTCCAATAGGAACATTTCAGAGTGTTTGGGTGTCAATCTGAGAAAGAGTTAGATGAGTCTAATAGTGATTACGAAGGTATGGCAGCTCATAAAACTCACTCTGATCATTCTGATAATAAAAGAACACCTAAATTTGTTGGTGAGGGCTTCAGACTCAACTCAGAGAAGTGCCTTGAGAAGGTAGTTCTACTCTGGGTCATGAGTGTGGCTGTTGGAAGACCCTATGTCAGGCAACAGGACTCTGCAACATGACACACAAGCAGGAGAACCCAGTCATAGTTGTCAGACAATTTCTGCGACCACATCAACCCTTACATTTGGCCACCTAACTCCCCAGACTACAACGCCCTTGCTTATTGTGTGTAGGGCACAGGAGAGTGAGAGACCATCAAAACTCCTTGTAACACCAAAGATAAATGGAAGACAAGGATTATGGCAGCATTTGCCAACTTAAACAAGGAGAACATCCAGAAGAGTTGCAGGAGATTCCGAAGTTATCTGGAGGATGTGCTTAAAGCCAATGGCAATTTTATTAAATAAATGTACTCTTTCGTATTTAAAGATATTTTTGTGTAATTTTGGTAAATCTGTCAAAATGAGATGTCAGAGTTTATTTTAATTTTTCCATAATTTAGATGACAATTTATCCATCGTACCCTGTATATATATTAGTGATGGGACGATACCAATAATTTTATCAAATTTGATACCATTCCCGATATTGTTCTAAATTTCTGATTCCAAAATAAAAAAAAAATTTATTTTTGGACTGAAACAGACTTTAAACTAGCTAACTTTATGGAAAGTTCAAGAACTGAGTAGAAGCTTGTACATTGCATTTTTTTTTTTTTTTTAAACAAAAGAAAAATAAATTTCCATCATACTTAACTTAGGTGTTCTTATGATCTATAGATTTTAGTTTTACTGATAGTTTAAAATCAATAAATATTCATATGTTTTTATCATTGATACCAAGAATGAAAAATTAAGTTTTAGACAAAAAAAATAAAAATCCAAACAATTGTTTTTGGAATCAGAAATTAGGTTAAAAATTTACTGATTCCAATACCCCAAAAGGTTCTGATATTTCTGATTCTCAATCCTGATTAATCATCCCATTACTGACACACACACACACACACACACACATAAAGAATGGATTGCATTTTCTTCACTAATCAAAGAAGAGATGGGAGAAATACAACATTGTTAAAGTTTCACTGTTTGCATGACATCTTGACTTATTTGTGATGATATCGTCATATGTTATGGCAGAGTATACAGGGGGCGAGTTACAGTGGATTGAACATTGAAAGCTGATAATTTATGGGGCAGCATCAGCCATGCTGATGGAAGGTAGAAAGGGGTCTCTCAGATGATTAATAGAGAGCAGTTTGGTTTTGGATGCATTAAAATTAACAAGCCATCCTTTGTCCCAATTAACAACTGACTGGAGGTCTTTTTTGAGATCAGCTGCCATTTTAACCTTATTGATCTGACTAGACTTGCTATTGAGACAGGAGTAAATGATTGTATCCTCAGCATAGATACCAAGTTGAGAGCTGATGCCGTTGGGAAGGTCATTAAGGAAAATTAAGAACAAAGGAGGACCAAGGATAGAGCCCTGGGGGGAGGCACCTGGATTAGTATAGAAGGATCTAGAAGTGTCGCCTTCAGGATAACTTTCATTTGGCGATGACACAGTACAGTGCTGATAGCAGACACGGAAAAGAAATTACAAAACCTCCTACAGAAGGTAGCGAAAGAGAGCAAGAAGAAGGGACTATGCATAAACTACAAGAAGACAACGTTTTGGCCGTTGTACACTCTGGCCTTCTTCAGGTGGTTGGAATGTCGAACTGAACCCTTTATTTTGCTCACTGGGGTAGACTGTTCTAGTTCCATGTACCATGTCTAATGGATGTCAGTTATCAGTTATCTCCTGTTAATTCCTCTCTCCAAGTTCTCCACTGCCTTAACTGGGTATTGAACTCACACACTTTGGGTCCTGTCACTGGATCTAACCAATGCCTTTATCCACTGTGCCATGTGTCCTCATGGACACAAGGCAGTGGAGAACTTGAATTTAATTAACCCATAGCTGGGTGAGAAGAAGTGGATTCATAACTTTCCAAGGGTATTTGTGCATAAGTGAATATAACGACTGGAATTGGAACTCTGCTCTCCGATTTCCAATTCCAAAATATCAGCTCATTGCTAATCAATTCAAACTTTATAAAATGGTAAATAATGATTCCCTTATAATCCTTTCATATATTTTAATAATTTAGTAAATGTCTATAAATAAAAAATTGCTTTCATATTTATTTCATCATAAATTGATTACACTGCACTAGTTTTAATTGGATTAGTTTTTTTAGAATGTTGTAATTATAAAATGGGTTTGGTTTGGTTTGTTTTACAGCATATCAACATCAATGGGTTATTTAATGCAGACAAGATTTTAATTGCTGCTAATATTTTTTATCTATTTTACGGTATATCACCCTCAATAATTATTTAATACCGACAAGATTTTTATTGCTGCTAATATTTTTTTTTCTTCAAAAATATATTAAAACCTATTTTTACACTTTCATTGTGTTTTCACCCCAGTTTGGGGGTTAACTATTTGCCCATAGTTTAATATTTAACCATATTTAATGGTAGGCAAAAACAATTGTCAATTGATTGAAATTTTATAAAATGGTAAATAATAAGGATTTCCTTAGAGTTGGTTCACAGATTTTATTAATTTAGTAAATGTTTATAAATTTATGAATAAAACATTGTTTTCGTATTTATTTCTTTATGAATTAGTAAATGATAAATATAGCATTGCATTAGTTTTAATACAATTGTATTGATTTTTAAAATGTTGTAAATATGAAATTATTCTTGTAAATAAACAATTTAATAAATAAATAGTGTTCACTAATTTTTTGTAAATTCTCAAGAACAAAAAAAAAATATATAAATTCACTTTCATCGTATGTAGAGGCTTTATTAAAATTCTAATCATCGCTTTTTAAAACAAACATTGCCAAGGAGTGAAGGTAGTTAAAATAATAGCAGTGTCAAGGGAAAAACTGTCCTTTTGGCACTTCATTTTTTGGCAGGCATGAAGAATCAAGTTTGCCTAAAATTATTTTTACTGTTGTCGTTGAGAGGGTAACCAACCAGCAGCTTCATGACATTAAGGACATTTTGAAGGTCAACATTAATAAGAAGCTCCTGATCAAGATATTCAATCACTTCTGAGGCCACATTGAAGTTGTCCCTGCTAAACACATCAGTCAACAATTACTGACCCCATAGCATCAGGTACTGTCTCATCCACATCAGTAAATATTGCAACTGGATCTTTCAGCTCTTTTGGGAAGAGGGTGGAGTTTGTGCATGCAGGATATGGTTGCAACCTTTCAACAGGATATTGTACAAGCTGGTGACGGCGCTGTATTGGTTTTGGGTGTTTTGGAGTTCACAAGGAGCATGAGTAATACAGTTGAAAGGTATGATATTTGTCTAGGTAGGTGATACTTGGGACAACTTCAGCTATGTCAGCTCTTCCTCCTAGCAACACCTTGCCTATCTACACATCCTAACATAGTGGCTGGCAAATGGATGGCACAAGAACCAAGTGGGGTTCAGAACTTCCCTACATTCCAAGCATGATTATTAATATAAACTAGCATGCGGATATACCTTATTTCCGGTTTTGTTGGCACTTGATCTCCAAAAATCCCTTATCCTCTTGTTTACCCTTCAGTCAAAGTGGATGCCACTTAGAAAATTAGACTTACAAAAGGACTGCTTGCTGACTATTAAACAAAAACACTTGAGATAAAACCACCATCTTTTTTCTCTGTAGGTGTCCATAATATTGTTAAGTTGCTAAGTGGTCCAGGTATGTATTTGCTACCCAGCCCAAGTATTGAACTGATAGCCTTCAGCTCATGTAAACTTGTCTTCTAATAAATTGACCTGTTCCACCTGCAATTGAAATGGGCTCTGCCCATTGAGTTCTATATAAACCTATGGTTTTTCAATTGGAGGGAGATCAATCTGCCTGGTGAAATTATACCAGATTAGATCAACATACACCACCCACACATCCAAGCTTACAGCACCTGGTATCCATAAGTGGTAACCCATCTAGATGCTGACCAGGCTCGATGTTGCTTAACTTTGGTGATCGTATGTTTAGTCCAAAGAAAATTTATGGAATAATGATGGGGATTCATTACAGAATTTCAAATATTATTATTGTTTTGACAGCATGAAATTCTTGAGGTCAGAATTGGTGGACGATCTCAAAAATGACATTCAGTCTGTTGTTTACTAGGGCAAGGAATGGCTTGTTAATTTTAATGCTTCCAAAACAAAACTGTTCTCTATTAATCATCTGAAAGACCTCTTTCCATCACTATGGTTAATACTAAACTATTTAATCCTGTCTCGATATTAAGTCTGGTCAGTTCGATAAGGTCAAATTGGTGGCTTATGTCAAAAAAGAACTCCAGTCTGTTGTTAACTGGGGCAAGGAATGACTTGTTAATTTTAACGCCTCCAAAACAAAACTGCTCTCTATTAATCATCTGAGAGACCCCATTCTGCTTTTCATCAGCATAGCTAATGCTAACCTTGTTAAATCGCTCAAATGTATATTTACTACCCAGCACAAATATTGAAATGATAGCCTTCAGCTCATGTAAACTTGTGCTTTAATAAGTAGACCAGTTCCACTTGTAGTTGAAATGGATTCTGCCCATTGAGTTCTATATAAATCTATGGTTTTTCTATTGGGGAGGCAAGGATAAATAAATCCATTTGCCTGGTGAAATTATCAGATCAGATCAACTTTGATAACAGAAGTGTAGTTGCGATCTACGAACTTCTGAGTAATGGACTCAGAATGGAAATAATTAACAAATATCCTTAAGATTTGCATTTTGTCAAGTAATGGAAAAGGTAAAACATTTTAGATGGAAAAAAAAATTTTCTTGTTTAAATTAAATGATTATTATTTTCAAATAAGGTTGTGAATTATTTAAAATAAATAAAAACTTTTGTGATAAATATTTTTGCCTCTAGTGGCCTGAAGGACTGTTACAGTGCTCAGCCAATCTGTTTTGGCTGAGAGTTAGAAAGAGAAAGAAGAAAGAAAAATAAAGAAAGAAAAGAAAAAGAGAGAAAATAAAGAAGAAAAAGCAAGAAACAGTAAAAAGAAAGAGTTTTATTTCAATTGACAGAACAAAGATTTCTTGCTGCTTCCACTGCTAAAGAGGACTTTTTGAATTCATACAGTGTCTGATATCCCAATTCATTTTAAAAGGATAAAATCAATACAAAATTTATTAGCTCTAATATTAAGTAATCTATGAAGAAAGAAAAAAAAACATTAGTATATAAAATTAACATTTATTTTACTCTAAGTAATGAATAAATAGCCCCAAAATGTTCATGTCAAAAATGTGGCAGGACTTTCTTTTCAGCCTAATATGACAGCAGAAACTGAGAATGATCTAACATGTCAAAAGTGGTTTGCAAATTTTGTGCTGGAGATTTCTCACTAAACAATGCTTTGTGGTTAGGTTAACTATTTGAATTGGATAGCAATCAAATCCAAGTATTACTTGAGAATAATCAATGATATTTAACTTAGCAGATAGTTAACATATTCAAAATATCCAAATCAAGTGTTTGGTTATACTAGTCACTTTGATGTGTGGCTTCCAAATAATGAAAAACATTGTTTTTGAAACAAATTTTGACAGCTGATGGAAAGTGGATACTTTACAACAACATTGAACAAATGATATCACAGGGCAAGCAAAATGAACTGCCTCTAACCATAGTGTTACTCAATTGTTGATTTTTTAGGAGGGGGTGAAATAAATACAAATTTCCAAAATTAAAATTCTTCAAAATTATCAGACATACAGAGAAGTAAAAACTTACATAATCAATGCTTCCCATTCAAAGAAGTTTTCTTCACTTACTGGACCTGCAATGATCCCCTCAGGAGGATTTAAGGTCAACTCTGAAAAAAATAAATTAAAGCATTAAATTAAAAAGAAAACTGAGTAGAAGATAGATTGTATATGCATACAAATCTCTGTAATGATCCTCTCAGGAGGGTTAAAGTTCAACTATGTAACCCCCCCCCAATAAAAAACAAAACAAAACAAAGATATTCTTTTTTTGTCAAGTCAATGTCATAAGAACAGATTCCAAAAGTGACAAGAATTTACATGTTTAAAAAGAAAAAAAAAAAAAAAAAAAAAAAGAGAGAGAAAGGAAAAGAAAGAAATCCAGCTACCATTTCCAAAGACTAAATAAAATCCTGCCTTTTTATCTAAGCTTGAATACCCAACTCTTTCAACCACCAGACAGACTACAAAAGATGTTAATTTTTGCCAGAGAAATAAATAACCATTGCAGTTACCAAGTTTTATAGTTATTTTCATTATTATTTCTTAGCTGACTGCTAAGCTTAGTTTGTCCTGGGTATGATGATAAACTACATCTGACAGCAAGGCCGCTGATCAGGAGATTGCAAGTTTTGAGGAGCATGGAACCACCTCTTAAGTGATGTTGTTCTCAGGTCCATCCTGACCCAGAGTGATAGCACCTGTTCGGGTCTCAGCTATGGGTAAATAATGAAACCCCAAACAAGAATCAATAGTACATTTTTATAGTAACATGACCTACAATATATTTTTATAGCAAAATGACAAACAATACAAGACTAAAAATGTATAAAAATACATTTTTATAGTAAAATTACCAGCAATACATTTTGACCTACAAACTATATATATATATATATATATAGGAGGCACAGTGGAGTAATGGATAACGGCTTGGATTGAGGAATCGCAGAGCCTAGCTCGAATTCCAGTCGAATCCATTACATTCACTTACGTGCTAATACCCTTGGGAAAGGTATGAATCCTCTTCTTCTCCCTCCAGCTATGGGTAAAATAGCAGGACAGACCGGGCTCTATAGCCTTGGATGGCAACTGGTCTAGGAGAAGGACAACTCTGAATTCAAAAACCTGCGGAGGGTCGTTTGGGAACCTTGTGGCATTTGGTGCATCAGGTCTCTGTATTCGTCCCTTCAAAAAGCGTGGATGGTCCTGCACGAAGCCTTCACCACTATAATCAAATCTCATGTGCCGGTGTCGGGCTGTCGGTTTCCTGGAAACTGATCTGCTTGACCCTCATATGTCGAAAAGTGGGGAGGGCTGACTAGCAGAGAAAATTGACATTCAAAGGTATCCCTTCCTTTTCCTTCAAGATTTACTTAGATTCATACAGTACAAGTTTAAATGGAAGAGAAATATATACAGGAAGATCGTGTTATGTTAGTTGTTCAAGTGGGGAGGGCCTCTTGGAAAATTCAACATTCAAAAATATCTCCTTTTCTTTCATCAAGATTAAGTAATGGAAAAGGTAAAACATTTTAGATGGAAAAAATTGCTTTTTTTAAAATTAAATGTTTATGAATTATTTAAAATAAATAAAAACTTTTGTGATGTTTTGCCTCATTTGGCCTGAAGGATTGTTACAGTGCTCAGCCAATCTGTCTTGGCCATGAGTTGGAAAAAATGAAAGAGAAAAGAGAAAGAAGAAAAATAAAGAAAAAGAGAAAATAAAGAAGAAAAAACAAGGAAAAGAAAGACAAAAAGGAAAAGAAAGAGAAAGAAGAGAGGAGAAAAAGAAAGAAAGAAAGAGAGAGGAGAAAAAGAAAGAAAGAAAGGAGGAGAAAAAGAGAGGAGAAAAAGGAAGAAAGAAAGAAAGAAAGAAGAGAGGAGAAAAAGAAAAAAAATTGAAAAAATAAAAATAAAATAAAAATGAGAAGAAAAAGGAAAAAGAAAGAAAAGGTCAGGCAGTTACAAAGTTTACAACTTGTTTTCTTCCCTGTGTTGTTAAGTCAACTTTTCCAATAAACAGGAGGGTGCCATTTACACTACCACCCTGACTTGTCCTTCCCAGAAGATAAAAAAGGATCTCTTGTTCTCCTTGTCTACCCAGACCACTTGTTTGTGAGACTTCATTTTGCCCTGGCCCCAGGAGTCTTGGTTCTGGATAGGGGGCAGCACCTGCACAGACTCACAAGCAGACTGACTGACAAGACACAATAAAAATGGCAGGACATTGTACAGGACAAAGATGAGTTTTCCTTTTTTATGTTGAAACAATCTTAAATAGAATTATTTTCTTCCAGTCTTTGATGAAGTAAATATTTATGTTGTTTATTCTAATAGGAAGGTGCATATGCAGATTTTTTCAGAAATAAGTTTTTTTAATTGTGTGTGTATATGTATTTTCCCTACCAACAGGTATACAAACACCAGCAAAGACATGAAATTTGGAAAATGCAATAGTTCATCGCAGCTATATGAACACCAGCAAAGATGTGGAATTTGGAAAATGCAATGGTTCATTGCAGCTATACAAAAAACAGCAAAGTCATGAAATTTGGAAAATGCAATGGTTCATTGCTGCTGCACAAACACCCGTTCCAAGTATGATGATAAAAATACATTCGGCAGCAAGGCTTCTGATCGGGAGGTTTTGAGAAATTCGGAACCAACTCTTAATTGCTGTTGTTCCCAGCTCCACCCTGGCCCAGTGTGGTAGCACCAATTAGGGTTCAAGCTATGGGCAAATAGTTAACCCTCAGACTAAAACACTATGAAACTATAAAATACATTTTCATTGTAAAAAAAATTACCAGCAGTACTTAAAATTACTAATGCTCCCAAGAATATTAAATTTCAGCATTAAATTATCCATAAGGAGTTGACATCCCGCTAAACAAATAAACAAAAATGCAAACACTAGCAAAGATGTAAGATGCATGCTCAAGAGTAAGAAATCCCAAAAAATTATTCTTGGCTATTAAAAAGGAAAAAAAGGAATTTTCTTAAAGGTATTATTTAGCATGAAGTCCTAAAAAATTAAATTAAAGGAATTATTAAACTACAAAGTAGGGGTTTTTGTCAAAGTATTTTTCTAAACAAATCAGCTTATACAAATTTCATGAATTGGTCTGTGAAATTGAATGAAACAGATTTTGTAAATCTTAACTAAAATGTTAGTGATAACTTCACGCAATACTAAATACCATGAGGATTTCAACATATGTCAGCCTGTTGCTAAAAAATTCCAGTCAACTAAAACCCTTGAGTCTAAGCTAGATGCAACTTATACTTGGATGCTATACCTAACATCCAACCAAATCACAACTCTATGGATCCATCCCTGATATTTCTAGAATCATACATGAACACAGAATATACTGCTGGTGAGTAAAAGAACTTACTAGTGCTCTGGCCACCTAGCTATGGTGCCAGATGGGCTGCTCATCCAATCACCTACATTGACTAGTTATTTTGTCACAGAATGCCACCTTAGTGACCTTCTGACCTTGATGCAAGACTGTGATGTTTGGCGTGATAGACTTATGAATGTCTGAGCTAGCTAAAATAAAATAATAGGGAAATCTAAGAAGTATCTCAGAAGTTTAATCAAGTCTCTTTTAACTAAGCAGTCAGTTAAATGAAATAAACAGTCAATGACAAAATTATTTGTACACCCATCAATTTTTAATATTTTTATCCATTTCTCAGAATCTAATCCCTGTATGACACCAGGTTTTTTTTTATGTTATTAAGAACAAAAAAGGGAATATAAAACACAATTTTTGGAACAATAGATTAAATACAACAAATTTGACAGGTGAATTATGAAAAATAGGAAAAGACAAAATTATTTGTACAGTAGAAAATATAGTTTTAAATTGATTGATTCATGTAAATAATTTACATAATTATTTTATCGGTGATGCCTTCTAGACTATTTATTCAGTAGAATATTTGTGATAATTCCAGCAAAGAACATCACGTGATGCATAGAGTGTCACCATTGTTATTCTTATGTTAACAATATGATAGGGAAAACAAAGGAGCTTAGCATTGACTTGAGACAGAGAATTATTAACTTCCATAAGTTGGGAAATAGTTACAACATTATTTCAAACCGGTTAGCTATCCCTAGATCTAAAGTACAGTCCGTTATAAAGAAGTTTAAACAGTTTGGCATTCAGAGAATTTGCCTGGGCGTGGAAAAAAAAACAAATTGTCACCGAGAGCTGCACGGAAACTGTGTTGCAAGGTTAATATAAACACAAAATTCATTTTGAAAGACATTGCCAAAAGTTTGGATACAATGGGTATTAGCACAAGTACTCACACATTACAAGGTTGTTTAAATAGAAATGAATACGATAAAGCCCTCTTCACTAACCATGTCACATTGTTGCTTGGTTTAATTTTGCTAAAACGTTCTTGGGCAAAGACAATTGCATTTGGGAACAAGTACTATGGAGTGATGAAACAAAAATTGAGCTTCTTGGACATAATGATCTATAGAAGATTTGCTGCAAGAAAGATGTTGCTTTCCTCCCAAAGAACACAGTGGCAACATTAAAACATTGTTTTACCTCAAGGGGGACTGGACAATTAATTGTAATTAGAGGAATAATGAAATCTGCAGATTATATCAAAATTCTGGATGAAAATCTACAACTATCAGCACAAAATCTTCATCTAGGTCAACAAATTACTTTCCAGCAAGATAATGAATCCAAACATATGTCTAAATCAGTGACTGCATGGCTTCAGAAAAAGAAGATTACAGTTCTACCATGGCCTTCAATGATTCCTGACTTGAATCCTATTGAAAATCTATGGCAAGAACTGAAAGTTTGAATAAATCATCAGTCACCAAAATTCCTTCAGGAATTAGAATGTGTAACGATTGAAGGATCGAAGAAAATCCCAGAAATGACTTGTTTAAATCTAATCAAAAACTTTTTGAAAATGATTGCAGCAAGTTAGAAAGATGAGAGATCAGGCTTTTAACTATTAATATTGTGAAAATTGTTAATTTTTTTCTATTTTTCATACTGTACAAATAATCTTATCTTTTACTATTTTTCATAATTCGCATGTCAAATTTGTTGTATTTAACCTGTTGTTCTGAAAATTGAGTTTTATATTCCTTTTTTGTGCTTATTAACATAAAAAAAACCTGGCATCATATGGGCATTCGATTCTGAGAAATGGATAAAAATATTAAAAATTGATGGGTGTACAAATAATTTCCTTACTGACTGTATCATTTACAGAGCCTGAAAATTTTCTAAAGTCAGACATTTGAAACTTTAAACCGAACGTGCCTGCTGCTGAGACTGCAGTTTCTAGTTTTCATGCTTCACTGCATTCACCAAGGTTTCTCTTTTCTTACTGCTGCTGCCATTGAAGTCTTGTAATCTCTCTTTATTTATTCCCTGAAGGTTACCTGAATTAAGAAGCACCTGATAGAGGGCATAATGGCCAAAATATTGTGATACCAACAACAAAGACGGAGATAATAGTCGGAGTGCAAATAATATAAATAATGATAACTCCTTCATCCCAAAAATTCAATAAAGATGAGGATATTAGTCTGAATGTAAATAAGGAAATTCAGGCAGAAATTAGCTGAATTTTGATCTGAAATGTCAATTTTTTAATACCTTATATATTAATGTCTGACCCCTGAAATTATTTTTGTAAAAATCTGATTTTTTCATATACCTCATATATAATGTGACCCCAGTGCCTGAGCAATACTAGTAGGCCTACCAGTCAAATATTTCAGTACTGGGTATCATCCTGAAGATATAGCAAATAGGTTTGTATCCAAGAGAATAAAGACTATCTCAAAATGGTGAGAAAAATGACTTACGGAAAAACATCCTTATAGGAAGATTTAGATCCTGTACTTTTGTTTTCATTCATGCCTGACGATAGTATCCCCTTTACCTGGGCTTGCCTTCTATTCTGCTCGCTTTTGTCGCTACATAAACAACAATACCTTGTCCACTATGTAAGGCAGATAAAAATCAACAAATGCCTTACATAAATGTAGAATTAATAGATATTTTCCTATCCCAAATTTGCATTCATCTTTGTTTTGTAAGTGTTTACATCGCTGAGGTATTGTATTTCCAATGGCAACCACTTTGTCAACATTACCGATACATAATACACAAGGAGATTGCCTGTACCATTAAGGTTAGCCAAAGGTACTGTGAAAATGTAAGCCTACCAGGTAGGTTATGATCACCAAAAAAGCATGAGTTTTAACTCCCCCTCCACAAAGTTATCACGGAAGATGTATAATCCTTTCAAAAAAAATTACCTGTGTATAGTCTCCCACCCCACACTATTTTTTTGCATGAAAAACTGATCATAAAATGCATTAGTTTTAACTCCCTCCTCTCCAGAAACCGATCTCTGAAAATGTATAATCTTTTCAAAAAAATTACCTGTGTATAGTTTATCCCCCAGACTATTTTTTGCATGAAAAACTGATCCTAAAAACTCACACTATACATAAGTATATACACTATTTAATGTTGATGATTATCATCCACCACAGAATGAAGTGCATTAACAAGGGAGGAGGTTATGCTGAAAAAGATTCTGCATTTCCAAATAATTACTTCCCTCACTCACGAGAGAGAGAGAGAGAGAGAGAGAGAAAAAAAAAAAAAAATCCTGAAAAATGTCGATGCCGCCAAAATTCTCCCTTTAAATATTTAATATATTCATTAGAGATGTCTCTGTTCATTGGCTGCTGGGAAATAATTGTGTAAATTCAAGTCTGCTTTATTCTTCCTGATAATTAAATAATTGTTATAAACTGCTTTCACAAATTAGAACAAGATTTATCAATTATTAAAAAGAGCAGACTCAACTGGAGAAAGGGTAGTGCACGTGCATCTTTGAGAGAGAGAGAGAGAGAGAGAGAAAAAAAAATATCAATTATCGTTTTAATTATTTCGTCCATACGCCAAATGCCTGTTGGTGAATAATTGCTCCCCAGTGGGATTATGAAGAGTTGAAATCTATAATTTTTAAAAATTTTATTTTATAGACACATCCTACCTGCACCTCATGTCTAACCAAGTTTTTAATTCAGAATTTTCCTTCTCCTAGCCTGGTTGCCAACTACAGCTAAAGAGCCTAGTCTACACTGCTATTTAACCTTGTAGGAGATGACTTATTTTTCATTCCACTGCCTCTTGCTTGCAAGCTTGTCGCAACCAACGTTACTTCCATTAAATGTTCAGACAAGTTCCATACTTTGGTTCCACCAATTCAGACCTTTAGAGCTAACAACCACCATGCTATGTCCGTGAAGTTGAACGGCTACCATTCCCTCTGTATTCTAATTTTAATGAGGAAGTTCCAACCATGCAGCATTTTTTCTAATAATTGTTTCTTTGTGGGACACACTCTCCCATATGAATGTTTCCTCAATTACTACTACCGTAACCTTTTCATCCCAAAGGTCAATCACTACATATTTTCACATGTGAAAATGGGCACGTGGCTGAGTGGTTAGGATGTTCGCATTCTGACAATGAGATCTGGGTTCAAATCTTACCATGGTCGATATGTCAGAAAGGAGATTTCCTGATGTTATCAGACTGGAGGGGTCAATCATTGGAAAGTGCCTGAAAATTACACCATGGGTTGACCCAAGCCTTGTGAGTGAAATTGGGTAGACGGAAACTTTGGGGGCCGTCGATAGCTGTGCTAGTACGAAATCACAAGTCATCGTGGCCGAGGGCTTGAGCGTGCTGGCTTTGTTCAAATTGTTGATCATGCTAGATAACATGCTCTTTCCCAGAATCTGTAACTAAGGTCTGCTCAGCATAGTTGCAGTATAAACCACAGGTGGGCTCTGTGGGTGTTGAATAAACACAAATGCCTGAGCAAAGGTCTGCAATAGGGATTGGCTATATTTTTAGTAGACAGGTATCCTCAAATACGAGTGGCTAGCTATACATATACATATTTTCATAATCTTCACTTCCTAATATTACACACCCCATTTAGTAACCCTCTACCCTCTATGTCTATCTCGTATTGAATGGGAAGAAAAAGCTGGTGGTGTGAGAGATGAATTCATATCTTTTCCAAGGGTATCTGTATAAAAATGAGTTTTTTGACAAGTTTGGCATAAGGTTAGAAAAAACTAAGGAAAATACATTGATGACTGAATACTTTAGCCATGTCATCAGGGCTCAGAACCTTTGCACTCACATATTGGAGGAATGCATTGCTGTCAGGAGACTGGGGAAGGACCAAGGCAACACTAGACTGATGACATCAGAAATTGGACAAGGAGAACACTATCAGGGTGCATGACCATCGTACGAGAGAGAAGACAGTGAAGAACATTAGTGCAATTGTACATGACCCCCAACTCGCAGCAGCAAGGATGGGATGAAGCAAGAAAGAATGAATATGAATAAAAGGTTTTGTCCCCCCCAAAAGCTGGAAATTTTTGCATAAGCATTGGATGATATAAAATTTGGCTGAAAGATTTAAAAGATTATAGAAAACCAGGAAAAATACTTTGACAACTGAATAAGCATGCTACGAATTTAAATGAATAAAAATGTTTAAAAAAAAAAATACTAGAAATTTGTGAATCAACTTAATATGAAGGAACTACACAATTATAGGGATACAGAAGGCGATTATCTCCCTTTGGTGGAGATAAGTCACATGACGTCAGTTTAGTGACATCACTTCATACAATGACAGAAGTGGCAGTCAATTTCAGTTTGTTTACAGCAGCCTAACTGAGCGAATACTTTTTTTGGCCTGGGTTTAGGGCTCCGGGTGGGTCTATATCTGTTTCCCCAGCAGCTTATTAGTCTATGGTCCTGTTTCCCTTTGGCAATATATTTTTCCGATATATAGAAAGAAACTCCAGTTCGTAGTCCTCAATTTTGGGAAACCCAAGACTAGTTGTTTCCCATTTGTGGAATATGTCCTCGCATGGGACAGAGATTAATCTGGCCCTTTTGAATCTGGAGTCCTAAACATGGCTTCTCCAGACACAGGAATATCTTCATATTATATAAGACCCTTTCTTTTTGTTTCTCCTTACACTCTGCTTTGCCATGTAGATATATGATATATTGTTTTCCACATGGGACCCATGTGTACATGTGTGAATATATATATATATATATATATATATATATATATATTATTTTGTGCATGTCTTAGTAGTATAAAAGTATTTTTGAGAACAAAGTATGTTTGTCATTCCTTTTCCTTTTAGCCATTCCATGCCGTCTGTGAAGTACTGTGTTATTATATCACAGATATAATAATGCTCATAATGGGGGAAACACAAATGGAAGAATAAATCTTTCTACCATAATTCTCTCTTCTGTTATGCAATTTAGCTGAAAGGTAGTGTAAAAGACAGCAAAAATACTTTGGTGACTGAATGCTGATGCTATGAATTTATATAAATGTAATACTTTGCCAAAAACATGCTGGATACTTTTGCATCAATCTAACTTATAAAATAAACTTATTCAATAGGAGTAGACAGGTTTGCCTATTGTCTGGTTCACACTTCTTCTCAGTTTTTTGAACAGGAGTAGAGGTTCATCCCTTGTTTTCTGCTTAGGATTGAGTTTTTAGTCCCTTCTAAATTCTACTTCAACTCTACACTTCTAACAACTCCACCTAAATTCTGAAATGTTATTTATTTTCTTCCTTCAGTAGGAGTAGATAGGTTTTTTGAATAGGAGTAGAGGTTTATCCCTTGTTTCCTGTTTAGGATTGAGTTTCCGGTTCCTTCTAAAGTCTACTTCAACTCTATACTTCTAACGTCTCCGCCTAAACTCTGAAATGTTATTTATTTATTTTCTTCCTTCAGTAGGAGTAGATAGGTTTTTTGAATAGGAGTAGAGGTTTATCCCTTGTTTCCTGTTTAGGATTGAGTTTCTGGTTCCTTCTAAAGTCTACTTCAACTCTATACTTCTAACGTCTCCGCCTAAACTCTGAAATGTTATTTATTTATTTTCTTCCTTCAGTAGGAGTAGATAGGTTTTTTGAATAGGAGTAGAGGTTTATCCATTGTTTCCTGTTTAGGATTGAGTTTCTGGTTCCTTCTAAAGTCTACATCAACTCTATACTTCTAACGTCTTCGCCTAAACTCTGAAATGTTATTTATTTATTTTCTTCCTTCAGTAGGAGTAGATAGGTTTTTTGAATAGGAGTAGAGGTTTATCCCTTGTTTCCTGTTTAGGATTGAGTTTCTGGTTCCTTCTAAAGTCTACTTCAACTCTATACTTCTAACGTCTCCGCCTAAACTCTGAAATGTTATTTATTTATTTTCTTCCTTCAGTAGGAGTAGATAGGTTTTTTTGAATAGGAGTAGAGGTTTATCCCTTGTTTCCTGTTTAGGATTGAGTTTCTGGTTCCTTCTAAAGTCTACTTCAACTCTATACTTCTAACGTCTCCGCCTAAACTCTGAAATGTTATTTATTTATTTTCTTCCTTCAGTAGGAGTAGATAGGTTTTTTGAATAGGAGTAGAGGTTTATCCCTTGTTTCCTGTTTAGGATTGAGTTTCTGGTTCCTTCTAAAGTCTACTTCAACTCTATACTTCTAACGTCTCCGCCTAAACTCTGAAATGTTATTTATTTATTTTCTTCCTTCAGTAGGAGTAGATAGGTTTTTTGAATAGGAGTAGAGGTTTATCCTTTGTTTCTTCTTTAGGATTGGGTTTCCGGTTCCTTCTAAAGTCTACTTCAACTCTATACTTCTAATGTCTCTGTCTGAACTCTGAAATTTTATTCGCTAATTAAATCTTGACCTCTTCAAGTCTAGAATTGGCTATCTTTCCTATTATCTTTCCTATGCTAATATAACTCCACACAGTAACACTCTACCTTGGATGGCTCTTGGGCCTTGTATTAGGTGAACATTAGTAAAAAAAAAAAAAAAAAAAAAATTCCAATTCCTGCTATAGATATATACAAAAGAAACTGGAGATTTTCAATGAAATATATATGGAAAAGGTATTTCACTTATAAAAGAAAAGACCCCCCCCACAAATGTAAAAATAGTCCATTAACAAAAAAGAATAAAAATTAATCTCTTTTCCTTGTTCTGTAAATTTAGGCACACGTTGTATTTGGTGAGGCATCCCTTCACCAACCTAATTCTTTGTATCCAAACAGCATGAATTAGCAAGCAGCTATTCTCTACTGACCAATAATTTTTGGTGTAAGAAAGATGATTTACGAGAGTATATTCGGCCATGTGAACAATATAGGTACTGAGTCAGAGGGGTAGCGAGACATGTGGTTGGTATCCCTCAACATGGCACAGGGTGTCTGCATGCATGAGTCTTGTTGGCGGATTGGTATCTGTATCAAGACACAGGGCAATTATGAAGCAGGAACAAAAAAGAAAAAAAATCAATGAAAAGTATTGAGCCTTTGGAGAGACGGCTAACATGGCACAGGCAAATCCAGTTACATTTGGAGAGGAAAGAGAGAGGAAAAAAGAAGAGAAATAGATATTGAATATTAAGTAAAAAGGCTGCTGTTGCTGCTAATGATGGTGGTGGTGGCGGTGATGATAAAAATGGAAAAGGCTGATAGAAATGATCTATAAATAAAAACAGAATCAGTTAAGGAAAAGAGAAAAAAGTTGTTAGAAAAAAAAAAATATTGGTCAGCGAGGTAGAGAGACAAATGACTACGAGAAGATATATGGAGAGACAAATGACCACGAGAAGATATTCGGAGAGACAAATGACCACGAGAAGATATTCGGAGAGACAAATGACTAAGAGATGATATTCGGGGAGATGACTAAAAAGATATTTGGAGAGACACATGACTAAGAGAAGATATTTGGAGAGAGAGAGAGAAGACCAAATAAGTGAAAAGTGAGAGAGATAAATAGGTATGAGAAATTGTTTTTTATGGTTTATCAAACATTTGCAGGTTATTTAAAGTCAGAAAATATTCTTATATTGTAAGAATTTTGGGAGACAATAATGATTTACTAATACAAGTCCTATTAATTAACCCATGACTGGGGGTAAGAAGTGTTAGATTCATAGCATTCCCAAGATTATTTGCACATAAGTAAATATAACTAACCAGACTGGAATTGGAATTCAACTCACTGATTTCCAATTCAAAGCCATTATCCATTATATCAACTGCATATCCAAGCTTACATCATATAATATTCCTAAGTGGTCACCTATCTATGTAATGATCAGGTTTGATGTTGCTTAACTTCAATGATCATACATGAACTGTTGATTCAACATGATATGGCGGTAAGCCTAGTCATTGGTCAGGGATGAATGCAAGCATTACTGATAGAATAGGGCTATTATATGTATAATGGAAATGCATTGTTAATGATTTTACTATAAAAATGCATTGAAAATCAGGAAGAAAGGGATTGTCAGTGGTCAGGAATGAATGCAAGCATTACTGATAGAATAGGGCTATTATATGTATAATAAAAATGCATTGCTAATGATTTTACTATAAAAATGCATTGAAAATCAGGAAGAAAGGGATTGTCAGTGGTCAGGAATGAATGCAAGCATTACTGATAGAATAGGGCTATTATATGTATAATAAAAATGCATTGCTAATGATTTTACTATAAAATGCATTGAAAATCAGGAAGAAAGGGATTGTCAGTGGTCAGGAATGAATGCAAGCATTACTGATAGAATAGGGCTATTATATGTATAATAAAAATGCATTGCTAATGATTTTACTATAAAAATGCATTGAAAATCAGGAAGAAAGGGATTGTCAGTGGTCAGGAATGAATGCAAGCATTACTGATAGAATAGGGCTATTATATGTATAATGTAAATGCATTGCTAACGATTTTACTATAAAAATGCATTGAAAATCAGGAAGAAAGGGATTGTCAGTGGTCAGGAATGAATGCAATCTGGTCGCTTATCTACATACTGACTGTTGCTTATCTTCAGTGAGCATATGAGAACTGGTGTTTCAATAAGGTGTGGGGAAAGAGATGTAAAGATGTGCAGGTTGATGGGGGAGACATGCAGAAATGTAGAGAGATACGGAGTCAGAGAGTACAAGGGGAAGAAACAGTGAGAAATGCTAGAATGCATGCAGAAGCCCAGAGATTGTGAGATGCATATGAGAGATGGAAAGCCATGCAGGAGCTGAGAGACAGAGTGGCGTGAAGAAGGGCTGAGAGACAGAGTGGTGTGAAGAGGTGTAGAGAGATGTGTAAGAGTATGAAAAGTGGCAGAAAGATGCAGGAGGAGTTTGAACATGGAGTGGCAAAGAAGATGTGTGAGCCAAATACAAGGACGAGAGAGAGCAACAGACACAAGAAGAAAGACCAAAAATTTGAAGGAGAGAGAAAGAGAAAGAGAAAGTGTGTGTGAGGAGAGACAAGCAGAGAGCAACACCTAAAAGAAAGCATTGGGAACCAAACAAATATGAGAGAGAGACACACACACACACAGAAGAAGGGGAGGAGAAAGAAGAAATATTAAAAATTGGACAGAGGGAAAAAAAAAAAAGCGATTGGGAAAAGGAGAAATCAGCAGAAAAGTCAACCATAAAAACTTGACAGGAAATTTTGTTGATCAATGTGAAGAGAATAAGAAAAAGAAAAAAGGAAAAGGAAGATGGGGGGAGGAAGGCAGAACTGTTTTGAATAGAATGTGACAATTAAAAATAGAAGCTGCTACAAATACTGAACTGAAATAAAGGAAAGCTTATTGTTAATGGAAGGAAGACATGACAATCAAGCACAGATCAGACTGGGAAAAATTAGTGCCTGCTTTGACAGAAACTAAACCAATGATAAAATGGAATTTATATATTAGCTATCAATGTTTTATGGTTTAAAGAAAAATGGATAAAAAAATAAAACAGAAACAAATTAGATTCAGGGAGAAAAAAAATGACATAAGGTTTATAGAAGGGAACTGGTAAGAATATTAACAAATTTCATTTTATATATATATATATATATATATATATATATATATATATATATATATATATATGCACACACACATAGGAAGTCCCAAAAATCTGCACCAATAAGAAATTATAAACCCACTATGATTTTTTATTATCAGTTCAAAATACATTATTTTATTATTATTAATATTGCTGTCACATATAATCTGGTGCTTCTGCTATATATTTAGAGATTCTTGATAAAATCCAAAAAAGAATCTGCAAGGTTATTAGTCCTGACCTGGCATCTTGGCTTCAATCACATTCTCACTACTGTAACATAGCTTCCCTGTGCCTCTTCTACATATATTTCATGATAATTGCTCTGATGACATTTTCTCTTTGGTACTTCGACTTTACAAAATAAAGCGCAGTACTAGATTGCCAGGTAGGTCTCATCATTTTACTGTTGAAATTGCTAGAGAGATGTAAATGCAAGTTCTATGCTAAGAGTTTCTTCTCTTGTACTTCTTGCTACTGAATCTCTCTTGGGCCTCTTGCTTCCCACCCAACTTTACAATTCTTCTTTGACAATATTTTTCTTTTACTCATATTTTTTCAGTAAACCCTTGTGTCTTAGTGGCTTTATTGCCTTGCTTGGGGTGAAATGATTCAAATAAAATAAAAACAAAAAAGATCTTCAAAATGGCAGAAATTTAGAAATATAAAAATAATTAATAAATCCAAGTTATATGAAAATTATAATGCCAAATACATGAGTACATATCCTACATTACATAAGTCTAAAAAATCTGGCACTGTGTGTGTGTATATATATATATATATATATATATATATATATATATATATATATATATATATTATATATAATATTAGTGGTAAATATACACATACATATGCAAAATATATATACATAGGTGCATACAAATACATGTATATTTTTTGAATAAAAATTCCAAGAGGATAGAATCCAGGTAGAACTCAATGTCCAGGACAGAGTAAGGATATAATAAAAAGGCTTAAACACTAATATTCCATGGTCATAATTTATTCCATTGGAATCGTAAATACGATCATCAGACCTACAAAAAAAAAAAGAAAACAGAAAAAACAACTCCGGAAATAAAAATAGAATTTAGTGAGGGTGTAAGTATGAGGGGGAGGGACAAATGTTAGAGCTAAAGAGAGGTGTAACAGATGAGAGAAGGTGGGAGATTAAAACTTAACAGAGAGAAGTTTTAGAGAGGTGAGTGGAAGAGGTTCAAGTGAGAGAAATATGATTATATATATATATATATATATATATATATATATATATATATATATAGTTTTAAGGTATGCAATATTTAGTAAAGTGTTCACTATCAGGGATAGAATGTAGGACTTCAACATCCAATTTTATATGTGTGTGTGTGTTTTAATTCTTTCACCCCAAGCAAGGTGACAATGTCACTAGAACACAAGTGGGGGGGGTTTACATGGAGTGAAAGTGAATGTGAAGATTGAAAATGGGGAGGATTGAGGAAAGTGAAAAAAAGGAACAGAGTTCAAGAAGACAGAAGATGGTGATTGACATTATATTTAAATTTATTGATGATTGTCGTTATCAGGTAGCAAGAAATTGGAAAGGAGTTACATGGGTGGGAAGTGAAAGAAAAAAAACTGTTAGAGTAGAAATAATAATTGTATCTAGCTAGTTCAACAGTAAAACAGAGAGACTTAATTGCCAATCTAGTAGTACACTTAAATTCATGTAGTCAGGGCATCAGGAAAAAAAATCTTGTCAGAGAAAGTGACTGGAGACAGGATCAATTGTATTGTAGACTCTTCTTTGAATTTTATCAGTTGGTTTGGTTTATTTTGTTTAACGGCATATCAACTTCAATGGGTTATTTAATGCCGACAACATTTTTAGGATAGATTCGTATGAATAGAATATGTATTCATTGGTTTAGATTGGTTTGGTTTATTTTGTTTAACGGCATATCAACTTCAATGGGTTATTTAATGCTGACAAAATTTTTTATTGCTGGTAATATTTTGTTTTGTCAAAAATCTGTTTCTGGTAATATATTTCCTTCAAAATTGTATTGCTGGTAATAAGTTTTTTCAAAAAGTATTGCTGGTAATAGTTAACTATTTGCCCATAGCTGGGACCCTAACAGGTGCTATCACCCTGGGTGAGGGTGGACCTGGGAACATCAGCAATTAAGAGGTGGTTCAATGCTCCTCAAAACCTCCTGATCAGAGGCCTTGCTGCTGGACGTAGTTTAACGTCTTACCCAGGATGATGGATTTTATTAGGAATAACAAGATATGGCAACAGTATTGAATACATGAATGAATGGTAGATTTATAGATGTGTAAGATGGATTCTGACAAGAAAATTTGTTTTAGTATGACACAGTGAACCAACCTTCTTTGCAGCAGATACAGCAATCAATTTGCTTAATGTCAGTGGAAAACACGAGGCCAAAAAGGCATAAAACGTTCCCTCCCTGAGTTCAGCATCAGCCATACTGATGGTTGATAGAAAAGGTTCACTATGGTGATTAAATGAAAGCAGTTTTGTTTCTTGTCCCTGTTAACTGATGACTGGAGGTCCTTTTCAAGAGTAGTTGACACGTTTACTTTGTCAGATCTGTTGGATTGCTACTAAGAGTAAATGTTAGCATCATCTGCATAAATATTTAATTGGGAATTGATGACATTAGGGAGATCATTGATGAAGATCAGAAATAGATAGAGCCGTGGGGGACCCACCATCAGTATGAAATATATGTGTGACAGAGAGAGAGTCTGGGAAACACACACACATATATTTTTTTTTTAGTGAAATTGGAGTAGATTTGAATAGCGAAAATTAAATCAGGGCATTTTGTTTACTGATGGGGAAATCTGATCTAGGGCAGAAGTTGTACCCATTGAATCTGGGTCATCAGGAGACAATGGAAATGGTCGAAATAATTTTTATCGATTAAAAATTGAAATAGAGCTGAGTAAGCTAGAAGGAACTTTGGAATTCACATGATTTTGGTTGAAGCAGCCAGAACCCCGTGATAATCACGTGTGAAATAGTAGGGCCGAGGGTCAGTTATAACCAGCCGGGTTTATCTATATAAACGCGTAGTTATGCTGAAAAAGCCAGACGGGAGAAAATTCTTGAAGAGAGAAGAGAGAATTGGCCTGAGCAAGTGTTGGGAGGAGGAACGCCACTATAACTTTAAGCCCCACACAGAAATCTTTATCCCTCCATCGCAAGAGTCATATATCGTTCTGAGATGATTTAACAACAAGATAATCACATACACTCTCTCTGTGTCTAGAATCCAGTGTATGAGCATGTTTTTTTTTTTACTTTTTTTTTTCTGTAACCCGTTTCTCTTCTCTACTATTCTTTTCTGCTATATAAAAGACATTACCAATTCAACCATTGAATCGATGTTTGTCTGGCTTTCTGCAGATATTAATTTTTTTTTTTTTTTTTTTGCTGCATTCTAAATTTCTTAGTGTAGACTCCCCAGCAGTGTCTACATCTTCAGTCGACCGTGAATGGACGGACATCACTTCTGCTTTCTGGATCAAACAAATCAGGATGCTCAGGGGACCTATGGCCACTCCCTTAAGTTCGGTTAGGATCGAGTAGACACCTCAACCCCGAGAGTAAGATGCCGGAGGTTGAGGAGCCAGGGCAAAAGTGTTAGAAATGTTCACTATGACCTTCATTACTTGATTGGTTAGGAATGATTGGATTAAGCTAAATATACATTCTATGACACTGTAGCCAGTATGCCAAACCCTGTCAAATGCCTTTGAGATATTTAGAGTCACTGCCAGATCTTTGCCATTTTTATCTAAAGCTTGCTACTAGATAACTTCAGAGATGGCTGTTAACATGTTGGTGTTAAATCTGGCAAAACGGAAGCCATCTTGTTTATCAGAAAGGTGGTCATGCAAAGTAAGATGCTTAACCAGTTCAGCATTGATTAGGACCTCAAATACTTTGCCGAAAAGTGGTAAGAGACTAGTAGGGTGATAATTTGAAGGGTCAGAGGATTCTCCAGAGATCTTAAAAACAGGAAATACAGAAGAGGATTGAGTGTTTGTTTAATGGCATATCAACTCCTCATGGGTCATTTCATGCTGAAATTTAATTTTTGGGGGAACTTTGAAGTAATAAAAATAATATATATGTTATTCTGCTTTCACAATTGAATACATGGTAAATGATACACATTATCAATCTAATGACTAGAGGTAATGCATGTTTTATGATGTAGATTTGTTGAAGTTATATTTTGGAATACAGTTTGATTTCTTAAAGAAATTGTAGGATATTATATGGATTAATGTCATGAAAGTTCTTTCATGTTGGTTGTTTGGTTGATTTTGTTTAGTGGCATATCAACATCTCTATGGGTTATTTAATGTCGAAATCTAAATATTTTGAACAGAATTTTATGGCTTCAACTAAATATATTTTGAATGTAATTGTATGCCTTCTACAGATAAAATGTATTGTTGGTCAGTTTGCTTTAAATATGTTTTGTTGGTTGGTTGATTTTGTTTAGCGGCATATCAACATCTCTGTGGGTTATTTAATGCTGAAATCTAAATATTTTTAATATAAT